ATTAGGGGTATATGAGTAGGCCTACATAAGCTACTTTTGCCACGACTCCTTCAGAACCTATTCATTCAGGAGAGGATAATAGGCCAGTGTTCGGCTATGTCTGTGTGAATTCACAGCCCATCTGCGCGTAACAGACACAACAGGTAGCGACAATCAAAAAAACGTCACATCAATGTTGCGGATAACAGTCCAAGTTAGACCGCACTTAGTAATATCTAGGGCCACAGGTCTGGAAAAAAGACTGCGTTCGCACAGACTGCTTTCTGTCTCAATGGGTCCTACGTGACCTCAGTTCGTTTGGTTACCGAGGCAGCCTCGTAGGTGGAGTTGAAAATTGGCGCTAACGCAGATTGAGTCCCTTATCTGGACACCCAGTCGACTTATACAAGTACAAGGAAATTACACAGGCATTGGGAGAAATTATGACTTAGGCGTGCAAGGTAAAGTACAGCCGTTCGAAACCCAGTCCAGAATGTTGGTTTATGGTATTACTAGAAGCTGGGGGCGGCAAGAAGTTTGACGTATTTGCTGTCCTGGACTTCACCATCCACGGTTCAATGCCTTTGTGTACCTACTAACTCTGTGCCCTGGAAGTTGTTTGAGGTTCACGATCCCTAGGAGGACAGTAGAATCTATGTGCACCACCATACCTTTAGGGTTGACTAACGCCTGCCGAGGACAAGGCAGACCTTTTGCCCTCTTCTAGCTTCGGTGCACATAGTCTTGTCTTGCGTGAATTTACCCCCCTGACGAAAATAAACTGACGGTAGGGCACTAAGCAAACTCCGATTATGACTTCTCCGGGTGATTTTGCAATCTGTTTGTGTTTGTGCAAACCTGTAGTCGTGAGTGCTGCTAGCTGACGAGTGAATACGTAGGGATGAACCATAGTCTTTCTGACGGAAGCCGGGAGGCTGCTGCTGCTGACCTCTGCTGCCGGCGTGAAAAGAAGCTGTTGTCGTGTCCCGAAGGGTACCAGCTCCGAGATTAACCTGGTTATTCTGCCAACCGTGATAGGCATAGGCATTTGAACCCAGATAGTGATTCATCGTCGTGTGACGCAACCCAGGAAGAGGCTGCTCTGTAACAAAACCTCGGCAGTTGTCTGTCAAATATATTGCAACGATAAGAACTGTAACTACGTCGGGAAAAGTGAACAAAATTTGCAGATCTGCTGACAAGGGCACAAACTAGCAACTCAGGAACCAGACAGGGCAACTCTGTTCTGTTAAAAAACCCCTGATTCTCAGGTTTCAGAAGATTCTGGCTTGGACTGACTGGTTGTTGTTCGAGAATCTTCTGATGGATAAATCTCAAATGTCCGGCCGCTCACTGGTTGGGCTGCACGCGTGACCAAAGACCGTACGCTTGTTTGATGATGTGGCGAGCGCTGATTGGCTAGCTGATTTCATGCGTTCGTTACGCAGTCGCCCTGGTCTGCCGTGCCGCCCATGGTCGCGTTTCCGTCCTCCATGACAGTCAGTTTGCCTCGAGGCGTCCATAGGAGGAACATGTGCCAATTTAAACACAAAAGCCCGGTAGATGTCTGGCTTGAGGATGGGGGAGGAGGGGTTATAGGTCTGAAGTTGGGCATTTGGTTATAATCTGTCCATGTGATTCTGCGTGGTCGGTCTGCTTACTGCTGCAATGCGATATGTTGAGCGCATGCATCAACTCGAGAAAAACCGTTGTCTTTGTAAAAAGTGGAGAATATGCGAGTTCTAGGAAGCAGTTCAGAAGAAGAGGATGCGATCACTGGAACAGGAGTTTTATTTTCCTTACGTTTCGGATTCCGACGGGAATCCTTAATCATAGGTGATGGTAGCATAGTCATAGTCATGCGCAGAT